CCTATAAGCTTTGAGAGACCAGTTTTTAACTGTGCCACTGAGATTTGTGCTAGCTGCATAAGCATTTTGTTTCTCCTTTATAATACATAAGAAATTCCTAATACTTGCATACTATCTTGAATATTGGAAGTGAGTGAGTGACTGTCTGATTAGAAAAATCCCACAGTATCTCACTTCTTTGTTAGAGGTGTGGAAAGCATACCTATTGCATTCTCTTAACACTCCTTTGACTATGACAGAGATTATCCCAGTTATCATATTTCAGATGGGAACCCATTCTAATCTGCTATCTATATCTAATACCTGAAGCAGCTTGTTTCACCTTTTCAATGGTATAGGGCTTTCAGTTCACACTCAAGTCCTTTGTAAATTATTTATAAACTTGTTTATCAGCTTTACGGTCAATTGTACTAAATTAGACAGTGGTGAGTGCTAAACAGAATTTTATATATTTACATATTTGATGCCGCAGGGTTCATATATTATTTAAACCTTTACTGCTTGGAATGTTTTCTTTTCTAATAGAAACCTAAGAGGCTATAGCCCTAACCTCTTTACATAAGAGGCTATGAGCCCTAACATTCATCTGATGATCCAGAATTTCTTGTATCCTTTGTGCTGTGGTCAGTGTACTAGTAAAACCAAGATGGTTTCATTTTTTCTAGAAATAAAGGTCAGCATCAGACCTCTGAGTATGGGTTTGACTGCCTGGACTCAGGACCAAATTAGAACTAGTGTGCCTGGTGGCCTAGAAAGAAATAGCTAGAAGAGCTTCAGGGAGGGGTTCCTCCATATTGCACTGCAAGGAGTAGTCAGAAGGCAGCTGCTTTTAAGCTAAAGCTCTTGTGCTCTCACTGCAGTCCTACTTGTGCCTGTGTGAAACAGCAAAATCCCCCCTACTCTAGCAGGGGAGCAAAACCTTTACCATAAATGCCTTAGAGAGACTCCTAAATACCCAAATCATCCACAAATTAAAATGTGAAGATAAGGCAAAAGTGAAGAAAATGCAGAAAAATGATTTAATAGTCCCAAAGGAGTTTTTATTAGATGAAATAAAAATCTTTCGCCCTAAAAATCTTTTCATTTTTTACTAATTCAAGGATTTTGTAATTCAGCTCCCCTTGACTCAGCAATTCAGTTCATTCTTAATGGTTCACTGAACTGAAACAACAATAGACAGTACAATAAATGTTCCTTATGTGTTTTTCTGATTTCATGCATGGAAATGATTTTGATGAAATATATTGCTTATGAAAGGAATCAATACACAGTAATAGCCTTAGCTAGACTAGATACATAGACAGAAGAGACTATGCAGACTTTTCCAAGTAGGTCTGCCAATATATCTCTCACTTGCAACAACTTGACTCTTTCAGTCTAAAATGTGCTGGTAGGAGTGTAAGGCATCAATTTATGATTGCTATACTGAAAGATACAATCTAAACCTTAAAAAAAAGCCGTGCAAACAAACCTAACTCTAAGGATTTTTAAGGGGCTGCTCAGCTGGTAGATGGCACAGCACTTCTTACATTTTATGAAGCTATTAAACGAAGCTGCCATAGCCTATGATGTTTTGTTAATTCCATGCTGAATACTACCAGTTAATACCTGTACTGTGTTTGACTCTGAGTGTACATGTATGCATGTATTTGTATATATGAACATAGCTTTTTCTATTGAAAAATGATCACACAAACATTCTGAAATTTAGATGCCTGAAAATTTGCCAGATTAAACTGCAGATTTGAAGTATTTGACTCATTACAGCTTAGTTCAATKAAATATAATTCTCGATACACACATAATCAGACCAAGCTTTTTCATTCATATGGCTGCCACTGAAAAAGTGTTTTGGAAGAACTTTTACACTAATAGCTATAATGACTCTTTAAGGCATATGGAAGCACTGTGACTGAGCAATACCGCTTTCTCTTCTGACTAGAGAGACATGTTCCTTTGGAAGGAGATATGGAGCTACAACTGTTCACTGGTTATATCTGATAATTAAGATGATGTACCTAGTTTTTCAGCAGTCAGAGCAAGGGGAGAGATCTTGAAAATAGAAATAAATGAAAATCCTTGCTAGTTAGAATTTTTACTTCAAGAGATTTCAGTCGGCCTTCCTTCTGTGCAAAGTCTGATGGCTTAACTAGCAAACATGTATTGTGTTAGAGGAAAAGAAAACCAATTGCTAAGAGCCAGTTTGATGCACAAAGAAGTCCAAGGAGAAAAAGAGCTACATGATTACAAAAAGAGAAACAGGCTTCCCTGCCCTTCTCATTAGGGCAGCTCATATTTGGGGTCATTTCTAACCTACTATCAGTCAGAAAAGTAACTCAGTTAAGAACTGTCAATGAACTGCCCATGGTATTCTCATTTCTATGTATGTACATTTGGAATAAATAATCACAAAATCATATGTCAGTAAGCCACAGGTGACTATGAAATTGAATTCTTTTCTATGCACACAAAATTCTCAATTAACATATCGGACTGTCAGGGAAAAAAAAAAAAAAAAAGCTATATTTGAATTGAGTAGACTCATCTTCAGATCTTGTAAGAGAACAGAAAGCCTTGGATCATCTGTCAGTGAGAAAAGGGGCCATTCCCTGGAGGCCTCAGTGGTAGATGTACAGTCAGGAGCATCCCTAAAGTTTTCACCATTTCATTTCAGTATCCATTTGGAGAGAGAAAAATGAAGAAACAAGAATTTTTAAAAGAAATGTATTTCAAGTCTAGAGAACTCTGTGACCTAGAAATCTGTTAAGTGGAGGAAATAAATTAAAGAAAACAACAAAAAATTCATGACCCTGAATGGATTAAAGAGATCTCCCTGTATTCTCTTCAAAATTCAGCACTACATTTGATAAACTGCAAATTTTACTATGTTAAAGTTCTGTTTTGTTTATGTTTGTTATTTCCTTAAACCTAAGAATGATTTTTAGGCAAATCAGAGGCCTTTCATTTCACATGGAAAGGTCATCTAAAATGAGGAACTGATCCAATATGAAGATAGGATGGAGAATAATTTCGTATTTACTGCATGCCAACACAAAATCATTCTGCAACTACTTTTACTAGCCTGCAAAGGATATAGTAGAAACTGGTGAAAAGTGCAATACTTTCTCATAAATATGTGTTATCCAGCACATGTTTGGCGTATTGTGAAATTGGGTATAGGGGATCTGCAACTTGGAGATTTTCTGTGATTATCACGGAATCACAAAATGGTTGAGATTGGAAGGGACCTCTAGAGATTTAGGGACACCTTGAGCAAGTGTCACAGGATGGCATCCAGGTGGATTTTGATTATGGTGACTATAATTTAGATGTGCTGAACCACCTTACTATAAGTGACTACTAACTTTTGCTTTCTTAGTGTGGTCCTTTGTGCAAATCTTCCCATATACTTGAAATTTCCAACTGTTAGGGCAAACTCCTAAAAATATGAGAAATGTCTGCTTTTCTAGCAACAGCAAACAACTCCTTGTAAACTTTTCCTTGTTTAGACTTCTACATGCAACCATACTCATCTTGAATTTCATTTGTTTTCTTTTTGACAGAAATAGGTCATGAAGTTTAGTAATGGCATGAGTTGAAAGACAATAACCCGAAAAGTATGTGAAGCAGGAGAGAACATGGGTATAAGTACAAGTAAGGATATGGCTGACTGCAGAACTGTTTTTCAAAAGATAAACAGGGCTGAAGAAAAATGCAGCTTAGCAGAAGCTTATTTAGCCTTTCTAAAGATATTTTTTTTTCAGGATGTTTCATGTGAAAATAAATCATGAGTACCAAACATTATAAGAGCATAAAGTCTGCCCTAGTTCTAATACAACCTTTTCATGCGTTGAGTCCTTAATATATTCTGTAATGACTTTATTCTTATATCAGGCATTTCAGTATGGCAGTGTTAAATGCAACAGTTCTTTACCTCTATAACATAATTTTAAAGAGAATTTTATTGATTGACTTTATTTTCCTGATGTATACTTTCACAACAAAAGATTGGGCATCTTACCATCTTTTTGTCCATAGATTTCTTTTCTAGACTTATTTACCAAGTATTTTCATGGGATCATAGAATCACAGAATAGTTGAGATTGGAAGGGGCTTCTCGAGTTTATCTAGTCCAATCTTCCTGCAGGATCAAGCAGGATCACTGACAGCACACTGCCCAGGACCTTATCCAAAAAACTTATGAGTATCTCCATCAGGGAGATTTCACAAACTTTCTGAACAACCTGTCACACTGTTCTGCCGTCCTCAAATTGAAGCTTTTCCTCCTATCCAGATGGAGATTCGTGTGTTCTGGTTTGTGGCCATTGTCCCTTGTCCTGTCACTGAGGACTACTTAAAACAGTAGTTTGTCCTGTCTCCCTCCTCTCCATCCCTTCCCTTCAGATATTTTTATATCCTGCTTAAGACCTCCTCTTGGTCTTTTTTCTAGGCTAAAAARACCCAGCTGTCTCAGACTTTCTTTACTCATGGAGGGGAGATACTCAAGCCCCMTAACCATCTCTGTAGCCCTACGATGTGCTCTTTCCAGTACTGTCATGTTCTTGTACTGGGGACACAGCACTCCAGATATGAAATCATCAGCACTAAGTGGAGGAGAATGTTCATTTTCCTTGACCTGCTGGCAAAACTCTTTTTAATGCATGCTAGGACACCATTGGCCTTCTTGGCCACAGGAGCACATTGATGTCTCATGGTCAGGTTGTTCTCCACAAGGACACCCAGGTATTTCTCCCCAGAAAGGCTTTCCAGCATCTCAGCGCCTAGCATGTACTGGTGCATGGGGTTATTCCTCCCTAGGTGCAGGACCTAGGCACTTACCTTTGCTGAAATTCATAAGATTCCYCTCTGCCCATCTCTACAGCCTCTCCAGGTCTCACTGCAGCACAGTCCTCAGGTGTATCAGCCACTCTTTCCAGTTTTGTGTCATCTGCAAACTTACTGAGAGTTTGCTCTGTCCCTTCATCCAGGTCACTGATGCACATGTTGAGCAAGACTGGACCCAAGATTTACTCCTGGAGGATACCACTAGCTACAGGCCTCAGACTAGATTCTGCCCCGTGGACTGCAACCCTCTGAGCTCTGCCATTCAGCCARTTCTCAATCTGCATCACTGTCTGCTCATCTAACCCAAACTTCCTGAGTTTACCTATGAGAATGCCATGGGAGACAGTGTTGAAAGACTTGCTGAAGTTAAGGTAGGCAATACCCACCCTTCTCCTCTCCTCTATCCAGCTAGCCATTCCATCATGGAAGGCTATCAGATATTGGTTAAGCATAGTTTTCCCTTGGTGAATCCATACTGACTTGTCCTTATTACATTTTTTTCCCATTATTTTTCCAGGGAAGAAGGTGAGGCTGACTGACCTGTAGATTTCTGGGTCCTCTTTCTTGCTSTTTTTGAACGCTGGAGAGACATTTATAATACTTATCACCAGCAGCTGTTCAAGAATTTCATTATTGCTTTATTTATTTCAATTTTAGTTATATAAGTACCACTATCCAGACTGAGTCTAGGATTGCAATGTTCAGTTAACATGATCTCACTAGAGTACTAAAATATGTAACTGAAAGGAAATATTAAATTTGTGTAGATCAAACAGAAAATTAATATCTACAGTAACAGACTTTATATAAACTGCCACTCATACTTTTAAAATTTTGTACAACATTGATCTCATGGGAATGTAAAACAGATCATTAAGGACTCAAAAACTTACTGGCAGATAATGATTTCAAAGCTTTCTGCTTTACAATGGAAATTGTGAGTTTTAAATTTCCTATTAATGCAAGATTTTATTTACTTATTTATTTATTTATTTATTTATTTATTTATTTATTTATTTATTTACTTTTGTCCTGGATAGGCACTTCTGTTAGAAGAGCACTTCTAAAATTCTCAAGAGTATTTCCATTTATTTCTCCATATGATTTTAAGTGCTTAATAAATTAAATAGTAGTTTTATCTCTGACTTGGGAATACACTTTTTTTCCGGGAAATATATGCTGTCTCCTTATTCTCATTATTATCTAAAAATCAAAGTACAGTACTATGAGCTGTCTATGGAGGAAACAAAATGAATAACTTTGAACAGATGTGAAATAACTTACATCATCAATAAAAATATTGTATTAGTACTTGGCAGTGAAACGAACTTTATTTTTGTCAAAAAAAAGTGAAGGACACGTCAGTAGTCAGAGATGCTGTGAACATTTATGGTATTTGCAAAAGCAAAATTCTGTTTTGAGTCATTTGCCATTTATATGTTTAAAAATAAAAATCTGCTTTTTAAAAGGGAAATACAGTTTGTTAGCCTAAAGGTTTATGATTTCCTACTTAGTCCAATCTGTTATTGTTGTGTAAACTTGAAAATAACAATAGCTTCATGTTGTTCTTCATATTTGGCAAACACACCTTTGTTTCATAAAATTGAAGTCCGAGTAATACTAAACAATAAATGCTACAGAAGGGATGATCAAGCATTCTCTTTTTAGCAACATATTGTCATCAGCCAGCAGCTGATGACAGAGTTTTCAGAGTTAAGCCTTGTTAAATATGTTATCACCTGAAAGATTCAACAGCTAAATTTKCTTGACCTGAATACTAAAATGTTGTACTTGAGACTTTGTACATTGGCAGAATAGATTTCAGAAAAATGCCAGCACAGAAATATTCTCCAGAAAAAAAAAAAAAAAAATCTTTCTGAAAAAATTCTACAGTTTCAAAAACTCAAGGCAGGAGGTACTTGATTGGGAGCAACCAAGCATGAACAATTTCTTTAATAGATCATTTGTATGCAGTGACTGTGCATTCATCTCTAAATTTCTGTTCTCCCTGAAGTTAGAAGTTAAGTCTTAACTAGTTTTATGTTTAGGACAAGTTTATGATCCTCTGCAAGACATGTCAAAGTAGATGTGAAGGGAGGAGGAACTGGTATTGCTGCAAATGTCCATGTATTGCTAAATGGCCTCCTCACTCATCAAACTGCCTTTTCTTGCTCTCTTTTTCTCCTGCTCAGCTTTTAACTTAGGATAGTAATGTGAAATGACGTAAATATCTTTGAGTACTAAAATTAATGCTTTCTAAGACACTAAAGTGTTAACTCATGTGCTCAGTAATAGTCATTTAGCTGCAAAATAAATGTTTATTCAGTTGATCTCTTTCTGTAAAGGAGATGGATTTTTGCAGATCTGCACACAATTTACTCTGCTAGTCGTATGAGATGGGGTGTGATGACGCAGAGAAGACCTTAGCTCAACCACAAAGGGGAAGGTTGTAGTCATCTTCACAGAATCACAGAATGTTCAAGGTTGGAAGGGACCTCTACAGATCATCTAGTCCAACCTTCCTGCTCAAGCAGGCACACCTASAGCATGGGGCACAGGGCGGCATCCAGGCGGGTTTTGAAGACCTCCAGAGAAGGAGACTCCACATCCCCTGGGTAGCCTGTTCCACTGCTCTGTCACCCTCACAGKAAAGAAGTTSCTCCTCACCTGGAGACGGAACTTCCTGTGCTCCAGCTTATGGCCGTTACCCCTCGTCCTGTCGCTGGCCACCAGTGAAAACAGCCTGTCCCCTTCCTCCATGCCTTATCCCTTCCTGAACTTATACACATTAATCAGATCCCCTCTGAGCCTTCTCTTCTCCAGAGAAAACAGGCCCAGCTCACTCAGCCTCTCCTCGTACGGGAGATGTTCCATTCCCTTAATCATCCTGGTTGCTCTTCTCTGGACCCTCTCAAGAAGCTCCATGTCCCCCTTATACTGGGGAGCCCAGAACTGCACACAGTACTCCAGGTGCGGCCTCACCAGAGCTGAGTAGAGGGGCAGAATCACCTCCCTTGACCTGCTGTCAACACTCCTCCTGATGCAGGCCAGGATCCCATTGGCCTTCTTGGCCACAAGGGCACACTGCTCACTCATGGTTAACTTGGTGTCAACCAGGACTCCCAGGTCCCTCTCCGTGGAGSTGCTYTCCAGYAGGTCGACCCCTAATCTGTRCTGRTGCCTGGGGTTATTCCTCCCCAGGTGCAGGACCCTGCACTTGTCCTTATTGAACCTCATGCGGTTCCTCTCTGCCCAACTCACCAGCCTGTCCAGGTCCCTCTGGACAGTATCTTCCAATACTCCTCCTCCCGGAACCTCACCTCATGGCCTTGTATTCTGCCACTTAATCAGATTTCTTTCTGCTTATCATTTTGCTTCTTCCACTTCTTCTTATCACTTTACTATTAGGAACTGTTTGATTTCATTATAACAGCAAACAATACTGCAGAAACAAAGTGGTTAAGTTGTCTGCCATTTTGATAAGTTATGTAAACATAACTCATTTGGTGTGCAAAACATTCTGTGTGCAAAACATTATATGAGGAGTATATTTTTCCTCATATTTACTTTTGGAGGGGAGATATCAACTTTTGTATCCGTAGAAGGACTAGTAAAACAACAATTTGTAGTCTAAATTCATATGTTATATATGTGGTGAACTAATCTCTGTAAAAAATAAAATATGCGGAGAGAATGATTGAACCAGTGACAGTATTTCACTTCATGTGTATTTGCAACAGATTTATTTGGCATCATTTTCTTAGTGTTGGGAACTTGTTAAAATACATTCATAATTGCACCTATATTTCTAAATCCCATTTTCTATTGATTTCACTGGCATATCACAACATTACTAATATAAGGAGTTCTGTTTAAAATTGGTTACAGGATTCTCATTCTTAGAGATTATTAAAATGCTCTATTGACATCTGTCTGCTACTGAACAGAAAATGGAGTTCATGAATATAAATGTAATCCCCAAAGGTGGATGTTTTGTAGAAGCTCAGATCTTTCCACTTCCATGCTCTCACAAATCTGCCATTATTTCCACTAGTACTTCAGCTTGTATCCTTCATCGTTGAAGTTAGTTTTTTAAGGTTCTTTTATATACTTATTTATTTATTCTTTTTCTATTGACTTAGGAGCCAAATATATCATATTGTGTATTCAACATATGCCAGGTCAGTTCCAAATTCAGTTGGTAGTTGATAGAGCCAATCATATTTTAAATTCTTTGTTGACAGTTTCTATGAACTGAAAGCTTCAGATTTACACCGTGTGGTTGATGTGCCCTATTCCTTCAGAAATAGCTTGCAATAGATAGAAGATACTACGCAACACATCATGTTAGGCAGCATGCTGCATTGGCTGCTGTCCTTGAAGTGCAGATTCCATTTCAATTTCACTGGTATGGCACTCAAAGTTATCTCTTGCCAGGCTTTTACTGGTAAATGTGAAGGGAGCGCGGGGCACAGAGCGGCATGCAGGCAGGTTTTGAAGATCTCCAGAGAAGGAGACTCCACAATCTCCCTGGGCAGCCTGTTCCAGGGCTCTGCCACCCTCACAGTGAAGAAGTTCTTCCTCATGTGGAAATAGAACTTCCTGTGTTTCAATTTGTACCCACTACCTCTTGCTCTGTTGCTGGCCACCACTGAGAAGAGTTTGGCCCCATCCTTTTTACATGTATKACTATTAATAATGTAAACAGAGTGACTGAATCCAAACTAGTCTTTACTCCTGCCAGAAGTGGGTTGAATTTCCATTTCTCTCACCCGCCCTCACAGCCAAACACACACACAAAACAGTTATCAAAACTGTACATTTGACAATACATTTTTTTTCCAAAATGGAACATCATTTTATCTACTCCTTTCTGCAGTAATGGGTGGAGACACATCATTTTATACTGAAAACAATTTTTCCCCAGAATTGCACTGCCTCGTAAATATTTTCACCTACTTCCCTGAAAATTTACTATAATTGTCTATTATGAAGTTATCCTCCCCTTCACAGCTGTCATATCATATTCCTTTGAATAATTGTATATGTAGGAAACATGAGAAAAACAGAAACACAAAAGATCCAAGCAAGACTGCAATATGCATTCTGCATCCTTAAACTTATCAAATAAATACAAATTGGCACATCATTACCTATATATTTTCAAATTGCTGAGAAATGTACTAGTAACCCATCAATTATTGATTTGTGTTGGAAACCAAATGTTTAAAATTTTGGCAATGCTATCAAATCTGTATGAAAATTTCAAATTTATGTCTGTATCTCCTCTTCAGTTTTCTTTTTCTAGAATATTTTTAAGTTCCCTCTTGAGATTAACCCATTCTTTACTTCCATTGCTGCTTCTGATAGCTTGTTTCTTAAATCACTTATCAGTGCTCAATCAAAAAAAAAAAAAAAAAAAAAGTCTGTCTTAACTGAATAGACTGCATGCTGTTGTCTCTTCACAGTCATCTCCTATTTCCCGTCAAATTAGTTAGTTTCCTAAAGTGCTTGGTGTCAGCAATACATTCTTTCTTTTCAGAAGTTCTTTTTAATGACATCTCTACTTAATCTGCTTTTTTACTTTAAAACAGCAATATACAGAGATTAAAGTAGTGCAAA